GAGGCCCACCAAAGTCTTGTGCAGGATAAAACACATTTTAGATGCCATGGCCGGGAACGAAGCTGCAAAGCTACTTCGGGTTCTCTTTAGGGTTCAGAATGGTTACATGGAGAGAATGCGGCCTTTCCAGAGAAAGAGATATGACACAGGGAAGGAAGTTCAAGTTCCCCCATCAGCTTTTACCCACCTAAAAACCTAGGGCTGAAATCCATCATCTGATTTCCTAAACTGTTCTTTTAACCATGACACAGGTTTCTTGTTTTCTGACCCATTCTGAATAACGTTGGAGTTTATTTCAATGGGAATGAGGGGTTGGCAAGGATTTTGACTTCCTTCCCTCCTTCCCTCCTTCCCTCCTTCCCTCCTTCCTTTCTCTTTCTTCCTTCCTCCATCCCTCCTCCCTCCTTCCTTCCTTTCTCTTTCTTCCTTTCTTCCTCCATCCCTCCCTCCATCTTCCTTCCTTCCATCAATCCTTCCATCCTCCCTCCCTCACTCCCTCGATCTTCCTCCCTCCCTTCCTTCCTCTATCCCTCCATCCCTTCATCAATCTTCGTTCCTTCCTTCCATCCATCCATCCTCCTCCCTTCCATCTTCCTCCCTCCCTCCCCCCACATTTCTCATGTGATAATATTTTTTGACTGCATACTTCCTGATCTCGCAAATTGCAGTTACAAAAACATTATTTTCCCTATTTGCCTGTCTCTCTTCAGTCACTTAGTTTACCCATCTCCCTCTCTGAAGCATCATAAATCAGCAAATCTATTTTTCTGTATTGTTGGATGAATGCATCTTTTGAATAATGAAGTGCTTTTGTAGGCTTTGGTACTTTGACTTGAGCACTCTCCTGTTAATGTTTAACAAAACCCCAGCATTGCTTATTCTTTTGATTTCTTGATTTTTTTAAAAACTCTTTTGAAACAGAGGAATAAAGTATATGCCAACCACCACCCCCTCTAACACATTTACACACATACAGCAATGGGACAATTAATTGAATTTCTGTTCAGAGTTTCCTGCAACTGAAGTGTTTTGCTACAATTCACTTTATTCCTACAATTATCATCAATAACATTTCAGCAGCCCTTGCAATTCAATGTACTGTATAATGCTGCTTTTCAGGTACTACCCATACACCAGTGGTAGGTTCCAGGTGGTACACTCTGGTATGAGTGTACCAGTGGCAGCTGGGAGCAGCGGCTACCGTACCTGAATGGTGTTTCATTGGGCCCACCTGCCTGCCCTCATTCCTTACCTGTTTTTAAGCCGACCTGACTATTTGTACATGAGCCCACAGCGTACAGTGCCTGTGCAACCTCTGCTGAGCAGCTGGAGCACCACAGGGCAGTGGTGTGTGCATGCTTGCACACCACATGTGCCTGAGATGGATGCCCAGCTCCATCACAGCGTACCGGTTGCAACGGGATCCAGAACCCACCACTGCCATACACCAGTGGTTGGGTGCTGCCTTGTCAGATCGGTTTGTATGAACTAGTAGTTCTCACCACTGGCTGGCCCTGCCCACCCACCCTGGAGCTAGCCTGTCCTATTTATCTCACTTTCCGGCTTTGTTCCCCACCTGCACAGCCCAGCTCATTGCTGCAGCTCATCTCTTCACCACAACCACCTGAGATGATTGTTAGTGTTTTTGAAGCTGCATGAAAGTGAGGAAGTAAAGTCGCATGTTCACATTTCCGGCGAACCGATTGTTAACGTATATGCAGCCCACCTCTGCCAGGCACTGTACATAAACCACAGAGAATGTGTGCAAAGTAAATGTGTAATCTTTTCTAACTTGATTCCCTTTCATCTTGAGAAAATGTATTATTCACACAGACACACACAAACACACACACACACAGCTTGGCAACTAAGGATCATTAGGGTTAGAAGGTGGAGAGGAAAAGGCACTTGGTGTTTTCACCAATCGTGATGCTACTGTTCAAAGTGGATTAGAATTAAGAGACTTGGGTTCAAATCTCCATGTAGCCATGAAGCTTGTTCATTGTCAAGCCCAACAGACACTCACAGCTGATGTCTCCCAAAGGTGCTCTTTTCAAGAGGCAACATGACTTTCTGGTTTTTCTTTGAAGACCTTTTGCTTCTCATTCAAGAAACTTCTTCACCTCTGACTGGATAGTGGGGAATGGAAGGATTTATACCCATTGCAGACAGCTGGTCATTTAGATTCTTTTAGAGAATTCCTAAGGCTACCTGGAGGTTTATCTGTGTTGTCCGATTCACCTGAGTAATGCAAATGAGTGTGGAGCCTTCTTGGAACTGTTGAAAGGACTGTGTTGTAGACTGGGGATAGATGAAGTCATATCCTTCCCCTTCTGTTGAGAGAAGGCTGTTCAGTTTTGACATACAGTAGATGGCCTCTTTGACCCTTCTTTCAAACCAGTGGTTCTCTTTATCCAAAATGCTGACTTCAAACAAGTGGCCTTTGTCTTTTAAATGCAGGTGGATGGCTGAATCTAGTCCTGATGGTTTTGTTCTCCTATGTTGTGCCACGTCTTTATGAAGTGGCTGTTTTGTTTCCCCAGTGTACTCACTGCACTGTGCTGCATATACCATATTTCTCAGATTGTGTCTGGGTGCTTTATCCTTGGGGTGGACAAGGTTCTGTCTTAGTGCCGAGGAGCGCAGTGGTTAAATGCAGCACTGTAGGCTACTTCAGCTGACTGCAGTTCTNGCTGACTCTGTAAACCGCTTAGAGAGGGCTGAAAGCCCTATGAAGCGGTATATAAGTCTAACTGCTATTGCTATTGCTATTGCTAACTGAATGGATGCCGAGCGGTACGGAAGAGAATGATGAGTTTCCACCAAGTAGGAAGCACAGCTCGCTTACTTCAGAAGCTCCCTAGATAGGTATAAAGGAACATAAGAAGGCACTCTATTAGAAGTAGCTCATTAGAAGTGTGAGATAATTAAAATAAACAAGCTTATCTCCTCTAGCTTCAATATGAAAGACATGCTTTGCTGAAGGAGGAAATGCTGAGTAGTTGGTTTCCCTGCCATCTTCTATGGAAGGGGTCCTCAAACTTTCTAAACATCCAATTCACGGCTCCCTCAGACTGTTGGGTGAGCCAGACCAGGTGGGGGTGTGTGGCATGGCTAGGTGGTCATGTGACTGGGTAGGTGTGGTTAGATGGTCATGTGACTGGGTGGACGTAGCAAATTTAGCAGCCCAAATGATACATGCAAATTAAACTTTGATTTGTTATGCTCCTTGGGGGGATAGTGAAGGGATGTGACTGCCTTGGGGGTGTATGAGGGACGTGTGTGTGTGTGTGTGTGTGTGTGTGTGTGTGTGACTCCCTCTCCCTCTCTCTCTCTGGAGGCCGGGATGCACAGAAGATGGGTGGGAGCCAGCAGCTGGATGGGGCAATGTGGACAGGGCAATGTGGGTGGGGGCAGCCTCATGGCCCGGCTGGCTCAATGGCTTCAGCAGGCCAGAAACGGCCCGCGGGCCGTATCTTGAGGGCTTCTGTTCTATGAGGTCCATCCTGAAATCCATTGCTCAGCGGTGTAAGACAAAGATGCTTCCTCCCTTTCTCTTTTCTGTAGTTTGGGGACGCTTTTAAATAACACGCCTGTCTTCCTTTCCTCCTTCAAATATAATTGATTGTTTCAGAAAGACGGGAGATTTAGTTGTCTTTACAGAAAAGAACCTTATCTCGTAGGGGAAAAAAATCTTTTTTTAGGTCAATCTCTAAACCCATCGGGTCAGAAGAATGATGTTCTTTGTCAGAATGGCTCGCAAAATGGATTTACTTTTTTTTTTTTTTAGGGTTGGATTAGCGGTTAAAATATGTGGGTCATTTTTAAAATCCTATTTCCTCCCCCCCTCTAATCTTATCTTCTTCTCCCTCCCATTGTGCCAGACTATTAATTTGCCTGATTTATCTCTGCTCATAAAACCCTCAAAGAGATAAAGAATGCTGAGTGTAAAATTCTTTAGGAAATATTTCAGTGTTGGCCATGATTAAGGGATTTTTCTCCTATAAGGTTAACAAGAGACTGTCTCCCCTCAAAGTCATGACTGCTATTCTCTGCTATTTTGCTCTTCTTCTTCTTCTTCTTCTTCTTCTTCTTCTTCTTCTTCTTCTTCTTCTTCTTNACAGTGTCAAGGTAACAGGAAATCGTCTTTGGACACCACTGGCGCCCTTGACGCGGAGGGAGTTCTATTGTCTACAGTTGGACATGACTGGACTGGGGAAACCTTTATCTTTAAGTAATATCTTATCTTAGAAATAAAAACAATTAAAAAAGAAACTGACTTGGAAAGTCTTATTTTGAAGTAAAGGTTTAATAATACAATACGGATGCTGGCTATGTAATAGTATACATGTGATTATATGTTATGAAAATGAAAAACTTTTCAGGAAAAAAAACCCATAACATGATGCCTTATTCTCTTTGTCCCTTCACTGGAACAGCTTCATTGATTTGCCATATCCCTTTTATACATTCAAAATAAGACTTTCCAAGTCAGTTTCTTTTTTAATTGTTTTTATTTCTAAGATAAGATATTACTTAAAGATAAAGGTTTCCCCAGTCCAGTCATGTCCAACTGTAGGCAATGGTGCTCACTCTGCTTCAAGGGAGCCAGTGTTGTCCAAAGACAATTCCATGTTACCTTCCCACTGAAGTGGTTTTGTGTGGAGCTCGGGTCTCAAACACGAGCTGACAGCTTTCCAGGTGATAAGCTCAGCATTTTTAACTATTGAACCATTACACCCGCTAAGATATTACATATAAAATAGAAAACTACACAGACAAAAGAAAGTCAAAAATTACAAATAAGGTAAAAGAAAAAAGTAATTAAAAAGTGTTCACTACATGTGTCATGGCACTATCGGAGCCTGAGTCCAAGGAAGAGGATGAGAAAGATCTCAGGCCAACGGAGGAATGACTGGAGGAGTAGGACAAAACAGTCCCAAGTTTGGGAAGGGTCACCAGCGAGGAACAGCAGACGCAGGAGGGCTAGGTGAAGGGGGATGACAAGGCAGGCAGCAGAGCAGTGGAGCGACAAAGGCAGGATCAGCCAAGAGCAACCTGATGACTCGGTAGGAGGGTTCTCCGGCCCTTTTCACAAGGCTCATCTGGGGAATGAGATTTAATGAGGTGCTTTTGGGAGGGGTGTTTGTCAGGAACAAGCAGTGCTTTTTCCGGTCTCACGTGCAGTTACCAATGTCTGGATACTCTGCTGTGCTTGTCTTGTTTGCCCTGCTTGCTATACTGGTCTGCTCTGGTTACATGCGAGGTCACAGTGACAATTATACTCCAGGTGGTGCTGCAGTCCTAGGGAACTCTTTCTGTGACAAGGATTCTCTGCAGCCAAACTCTTTGAACTGGGGCTGATTTAAGATCTGCTGCTCCTCTGGACTAATAGCAGCCAGGAACTATTGGAGTTGCATGTTTAGAGCGTTGCTCCTGGCCTTGCAGTAAACGAAGGACTTTTGGGGGAAAATTGGAACAATAAAGGGGAGTTAATCCTTCGTTCTGGCTGTATTGTTTCCTTGCCCAGCCCCAGGCCATCACAACATTTGTAGAATCAACATTAAACATTTATCTTTTGCCAAATATGTCTCAAATAGACCTAGTAAATTCCCCTCTTGCACAATGGTTCTACAAATAATGATCATCATTCTGTTCTATACCTGCTATATTTACTGTTACTAATTTGCATCACAATTCTTTAAAAATATCTCAAATATAGAAATCTAATGTCTATCAATAAGGTCAACAATCTAAAATCTAATAGCTGTAAAATAAAAACATCTGTTAACTAGCAGACCAAAGAAATATGCTAATCTTCCAAACTCCAAAATCCATTGTTATGTTAAACTCACAGAAACTCACAGAACAGCTTCCAATATCTTGTAAATATATCCAAAACATTATTTCTAAACACTGCAGTTACTTTAACCATGTCTGTCAAGTCAATCAGTTCCAACTGATCATCTTTCATCCATTTTGTAATTTCTGTTATAATTAAATTTAATGCAGAGATTTAAAAAATGTAAAAATTAGTAATGAAAGAGTGGACTTGAAAAAGATGAATTGATGGAGATGTTGAAATTAACTATTTTGATTATTTTAATAATTCTTTTAGATTTTTTTTGAATTAGAGATTATTTTAATCTTGTTTGATAATGATGCGTAGGTATTTATTAAGTGATGATTGACCGGATAATTAGATTTATTTAAGGTTATAGAAATCATATATTGTTATAGAAATTGTATATGCTGTTAAACTTAGATATTGATTATATTGTGTTTAAATTAGAGTAAGAACATACTTTTTTATATATTTGCACTTATACTGAGGAAAGTTGGAAGTCTTTTTATATTTCTTTGTTTATCCCTTTCTCCCTTTTTCTTTTTCTTTTTCTTCTTGGTTTTTTTAATTTTTTTCCTTTTAATTCCCTTTTCTTTTGTTATTTTGTATTTTACCTTTTTAAAATTTAATAAAGTTGCATTAACAATAATATTCAAAACAGCTTCAGTCTCTACTTTATCTATATTCTTTATTGTAGTGTTAAACAATGTTGTATGTAATTTATCAATATATTGTATCCAAAGGTGTTTAATTTCATCTATAATCAAATGGTATTATTCCACTGTACTATTTTTTAGCTTTCTCTGATTCCCTCTAATCAACCTTTCAAAATCTTTTCTTGTCATGTTTAATCAATTAAATTTTCCCAAGGGAGAATTTTTTACAATTAATTTTAAAATCTCCATATACAATATTCTTTCTAAAATTGTAAAACCCTCCACATCAAATGTTCTTTCAAGTACATCTAACTGTTTAAAATCAACATTCCAGTTTCCCTTTTGTTTGTTTTTAATCCTTAAATTTACATAGAACTTTTTTCAACCATGGTAGCAGTAGATTCTCCTGAAAAAATAAAACTTGCTCTTTGGAAGTTTCTTAACATCTAGAAAATCAATAATAAAGAGTTTCTTAAAGTAGTTAAGACAAGCAATAGATGAACCCAATGTCTCTTTGACAATGTTGAATTATGGCTATACTTGTTGGTAATCTTTGGCCTCTCCTTAATTTGGAAAGCAGTTCTGTAGAGCCAATCCATTCACTGGCTCCTTTTTTTCACCACTGTTTTCTGCAAAAGTGGAACCGTGTTCACTCCACCATTGCTGTCTCCCTGGAAATTCTATATACTTAGGTACTCAGTTGCTAACTTTGTTAAGAACCAACAAGAGAATCAATGTCCTTCATGAATTGTCTGTGTCTTCCTTTCTCCAAAACTTGATAGGGTTAGAATTGAGGAATGATTTTAGATATATAGCAAATGATGAGGCTGAGGTGGTAATTTATGAGAATCAACTTATGGTCCCTGTAACCTTCTGGTCTTGTAATAGAATTTATTTTTTCTTTCTGATAGATTTATGAAATGTTCCCATTTATCATGAAATATCTCCCAGGGTCTCACCAAAAAGCCCTTTCTGCTGCAGAGTTTATCATTAATTTTGCAAAGAAGGAGATTGTACAGCATAAGGAAAACCAGAATGTGCATGATCCACAGGATTTCATTGATTTTTATCTACTTCAAATGGAGATAGTAAGTGTCTATTTTTATTTACTTATTATGTAGAGCGTTACAACATTAAAAATCTGGAAAAATGGTATCTGGAAAAACAACAGGACAGAGCCCAATCATAGTTCTGGGAAAATGATGTTCCACAGGGAAGCAGCCAACTTACAGAAGCCCTTTCTAGTCATCCCATCAGGTGTACAACCCTAATAGATGGGACCCACAACATATTCTGCCTTCCTGTCCTGGTGGACTGGGTGGATGTAACTGGGGAGAAGAGGGCCTTCAAATAACCTGGCCCCACGTCATATAGACTTTTAAAGGTGATCACCAGAATCTGGAATTCTATCCACTAGGAAACTGGCAGCCACAAAACTGCTCCCACAAAATAAGTGGAACATGATTAAGTCTAGGCATGTGCAAAATTGTGAAGATTGCTGCATTCTGAATGAATTGAAGCTTCTGGATACTCTTTAAGTAATAACCCCATATAAAGCACATGTCAATAGGTCACACAGGAGATGACTAGGGCATTGGTGACTGTGAAAACATCATGTTGGTCAATGAATGAGTGTAACTGGCACACAATTCATAGTATGTATGATGTGGCAATAGTGCTTGATGAAGGAATCTGGAGCATCTATAGCTTCTATAAAATATTATTGGGGTTTCTGAACAATCCTCCCTATTGTTGGAGTAGGTACTTTTCATCATGAAGTAATATTACCAGTAATCTCACCCCTGCCATAATTGCTTATATATATCATGGATGTCAAACTCAAGGCCCGAAGGCCGGATCTGGCCCGTGGGGCGCTTAGATCTGGCCTGCAAGGCCACCCTGGAAACAGCAAAGGACTGGTCCATGGTGCTTCTGCCAGCAAAAACGGAGCTCATGAGGGTCGCGCATGCACACCAAGCTCCGTTTTTTCTGGAAGGAGGTTGCAGGAGGCCATCACAGCCAAAAACGGAGCTTGGGAACCCGTTTTTGCTGGCAGAGGGCTCAGGCCACCACAGGCACCACCAATATGAGTGATGTTGAGATGGCCAAACTCACCCTGGCCACACCCACCCCAGCTCCTCTAGGTCAAACAAATCCTGATGTGACCCTTAATGAAATCAAGTTTGACACCCCGATATAGATAGTATTACCACAGTTGGTTTAACTGTAGAAGGAATGATAAACACGTGACCCGACAAAAGGACGAATGACAAAACCGTGCCGACTAAATCGCGTCGCTAAAACCGCGACGTCATCAACGCGCCGACAACAACGGGCCGACAAGGCTTCCTGGGAGGAGCCTGCTGGTGGTGGCAGCAAAAAATCAGCTGCTTCCGAATTCCTGGCTACGTACCTGTT